TATCATATATTCTTGTTGATACTTCCAGTTCAAATCCAGGACCATGTGGTTTTTACTTAATGTCTCCCTTACAACTTTATTTCCTTTCACCCTGGCTGAGAATCCCAGCTCTCAATCACACTGAGAGTGCCGGACTAAGTTCACACAATCGCCCATTCGTTTTATGTCACAATACACAGCAGTCTGAGAACAATAACTCCAACAGTGCAAGCAACAGTATGATAACTAAAAGCAGTTTCTTTTCAAATTCTTTTTGTCCTTAGGATATATGTCACTGAGGATGTTCAGTCACTTTATTATGTGTCAAAGTTACTTGGGATAATTTCTCTTGGAATAGTTATGCTGTTAGTTTGGCATTTTGCTTTCATTTTATTTTAGATTTGTGGGAGTTGCTTTTTAAATTTTAAATTTTTTAAATTAAATTTTGGTTTAAAATTATATAAAATATTTGCAACATTAGTTATATTCAAAGAAGTTTAGTTTCCATCCTTGTCTTCTTACCCCATTTCCTCTCTCCCTCTATAGGTAACTATTTAAAAAAATCTTTTATTCTCCCTTCATATGTTTGTAAGTGTAAGCAGATGCTTCTGTTCCAACACCCTTTCTTAGATAAAAGTTAGCAAATTTAAGTTTTCTCCACCTTGCTTTTTGAACTTAATATTATACCTTAGAGATTATTACATGGTAGTAATAATATGTGATGCAAAAGATGCCCATAAAACTAAACTCATAAATAAAATACTGGAAGTAGACCTTTGACTGTTTCATCTACTTCCCTAAAAGTTTGTTTAAGTTGGCCCCAAAAACCTTTTTTGAATCTTTTTACTGGAAAAATGGATTGCCTTATGTTCAGGGTTGCCTTATTTGGGGGCACAGATGATAACTACAAAATAGTAAAATTAGAACCATAAGCTGGAAATTTGAGCAGGATCTGAAGTATAGTGAGGGTTTGGTGCTGGAGAGTTGGGGAAAGGCATGGTAGACAACCAGATGGTGTGGGCAAAGCATGGAGGTGGGAATGTGCATGGGGCCCATGGGATCGGAGGGCCTAGCTGGAGCTGCAGGTTTGGTAAAGGAAATTGATTGGCAGGGAAATTAGCTAAGATCTTTTGTGAAATAACTCGGTCTTGTGAGGGTCCTGATAAAGTAGATGCCATTATATTCATTCTTTTAACAAAGATTTATTGAGCAGCTGCTAAGTGAAAAGACTGCAGGGTGCTAAGGAAACAGTGATGAGGAAGACAGATAATGGTTTCTCCTTTAAGGAGCAGAGACATTTCATTACTAAGGAGAAATATTGTATACTCTGGGGGCATATAAATGGGGGGACCTAGCCTAGTTCAGAAGAGGAGAGTCAGGGAAGGCTTCCAAGGAAGAGCATTTAGGCTGAGATCTATGGGATGATGAATAAGTGTTAGCTGCTGGCGATGGAGGTGGGAGTAGCAGGGAGAGGGCGATAGTTCTAGGCAGAGGGAGCAGCACTTAGGGAAGAAAATGAGTGTGATTCCAGAACCGCTATGACTAAGGGCTGGAGAGTGAGGGATAGAGTGGATGAGAGATGAGGGTGAATTTGAGAAAAGTGGCAAAGGAGGAGTTGATAAGAAAGGGAACTGTTTCCCTGAAGACAAAACGTGGACACGCAATACATCTGGAATGGATACATAAATAAGTTTGAAATTTCAAATGTGGATGAAGAAATGATGGTGCCATGGGTAGGAGTAAGTGAAAGAGCACAGGGTGTTGGTTTGGAAGAAAGATTAGTTTGGTTTTAGACATGTGAATCGGACGCACAGCGTCCCAGTGGTTGGTCAAATACTGAGCCTCACACACAGTTTCAGGCTGCTGTTGAACTTGAAAGACTCAAGCGTGGGAAACAAAAGGTAGTGAGCCCTTCCTTGGGAAGTATGATTGGAGGAAGAAGAGGAGCCTCAGGATGAGACAGAGGAGCACGATGGAGAATTTCAAGGACAGAGAGGTAAACAGGCTCAATGCTGCAGAGAGATCAAGGACACCAACTTACACCAAATGAGACAAAGTGGCTGACACCACTTGCAAAATGTGAACATGTAGTATAAACGCAGAGGTAGAGTGGGAGGTGGGAAAGGCATGGGACCTGCAGTCCCAAGACCTGGCTCAGTCTCAGCCCTAGCTCTGCCTTCTACCATCTTTCTGACTGTGGGAAGTTAATTAAAGTTCTCTTAGTCTCAAGCTGCTTATTTATAAAATGAGAAAGAATGCCTGGCATGTTTGCAAAGTTATTGTGGGGTTCAAATTAAAAATATCTGTAAACAATTGTGTTCCACCCCCTCAGTGTTGGGTAAAGGGTGTGGCACACACGGTACTTGAATGAGTGTTTGGATGAATGTATGGTTCTTATTATGGCTACTTATTTATGTTTCAACAGAGACCAGATGAAGAAGCTGTGGTGGATCAAGGTGGGACCAGTACAATTCTCAACATTCACTATGAGAAGGAGGAGTTGGAAGGTGAGCGCTGCTGTTCTGTGTAATGGGGGAAATCAGTGAGAGGCCGCCTGGTGTGGGCGGAGCAGCTTTGCCATCAGGAGACCTGGGTTTGAGTCCTGACTCTTTCTCACTAGCTGTCAGACCTTGAGGGAAAATCCGTTAATTTCCCTTGGCCTCAATTTCCTCATCTGTTAAATAAAAGTAGCGGTAATAATACCTGGGTTACTATTAGGATATAATAGATGGCATGTGAGAGAGCGCTTTGAGCACTGTAATGTCCAATACAAATGTCAATAAATGACCTTATTCCGTGACAATGTGAAGTACTCAGATCTGTTTATTGAATCTTGATGACTGCGTAGAAATGTAAATATACGTATATACAAAATTTTAACAGAAAAGAAAATACAAATCATTTTAAAAACTCAGTTTGGCCGTAAAACTCTGTTTTTATCCCATTTCCAATGTTTGCTCTTCCCATTCTAACTATACCCATTTCTGCCTGGTGTTTTCGTCTAAACAAGAAAAGAGAAAACACATATCCATCTATAACATGTTCTTTAAGAGTTCACAGCCCCGAGTTGTATGCAACCCCCTGAAGTGGAGGGGAGTGAAGAGGCCTTTTAATTGGCCTCCTCTGTCTAACTGACCTTGTCAGGCTCTTCTTCCTTTCCCTCCTCGCCCACCCCAGCTCCCCATGGGACTGTCGTGTGCCGTCCTGCTACTTTCCTTTTCCCAGGGGGCCAGTTTCCTGATAAGGGGTGATGCTCAGTTTTATTAAAGAGAGGCTCGTGTCCACTGTCGCTTTAATGAGAACCCACATTTGGCTCAAAAGCCTTTGTGAAGTCTCAGCAGCATCTCTTGCAATGTTGAAGGCTGTGATACAGCAACTTTCTAATGACTGAGACTGCATGTGAAATGTTCTCTCCATACTGCTTGTTCCATGCCGTTTTTTTCATCAGAGTTGTACAATCCCCAGAGAAAACTTGTCCTTTGGATGGGAGAGCAAAAGCTGCAGAGGCTGACTCAGCCTCTGGGTCTGTTACCATGAGAACTTCTGTGGGTGGCTCTGTGGAGGTCAGTGGCGTTCGGATATATCAAGGTCAAGCTTTCCAAGTTATTTTGACCAGATGGAAGAGGAGCCAAAGTAGATTTCAGCAGTTGGGAGAAAGTGGAAGAAGGAAGGGTGGAGAGATGGGAGGATAGCATCTGTTGAATGCGCCTTGTATGAGAGGCATTTGATTAGGCACTTTGTACAAGTTGTTTTTTTGATCATCACAGCAGCCCAGGCAAGTAAGTATCATCCCTGTTCTACATGGTGGAAAACTGCTTGGTGTCATCTAGCCTGATAGCAGGGGAGACTGGGATGGGACTCCACCACACTGCTCTCAAGGGAGGAGGTACCCGGCGTTAACCATCTGACCTCAGTATCTTGCTCCATCATATGAACATTCCTATGCATTGCCCTGCCCCTCCTTCTGCCCTGATAATTCTATTGCCTCTCTACCCTCTCATTCCACCGTCAGGGTACTGTTACTCTCAGTTTGGGTGTCCGGGTCCCTAGACCTTTGCCCTCAGCAAGGAGGTAACCGTTTACAAACACACTCATCCACTTGGAGTAGAATAATAAACCTGGGCACACTCTCTTGGATCCTGAGGGCTGGGTTCCATCACAGAGGTCAGCTGAGTAATTGGCAGTAGAAGCATCTTCTCAGGAAGACATCATCTATTTCTTACACAGTCTCCATTTTCCTATAAAAGAAGGCCATCTGTGATGATGGCATTTCTAGGGGATAGTGTGCGGGGAAGTGGTCCTTTATACATAGACCTTTTTGAAAACCACAATCTTGTTTATATTAGCACTTAAAAAAAAACTACTGTCAAATGGAAGACAAATAGTGCCCCTTCCTCAGGTCTGATGTGGTTCTAGAGCAGCTCCGGAGAGGAGAAGAAGGAGTTGGCGTTTGCTGTAGGCTCGGCCATGCTGTGGGCTCCACCCTGACCCACTCTGCGGGCAGCCCAGGCCTCAGTGAGGCTGCACTCAGGGAGGTGTTGTATCTTGAAGGCGTGGTATAAAATCAGTCCCACTTTGATGGAAGATAAGTAAGTTGTGTTCTAATGGCTGTGTGTGCCATGACACAGGTTCTGCAGATAAATCTTGGGCCTTCCTTCCCCTTTGTTCTATGCCCTCTTCTCCACGTGATGTAAACTGTTCCCTCACCTATTTTCAGAACGACCTCTGAGATGTGGTCTTTGGACATTGTGAGAGACTATTGTAAATGTGGGTCTTTTTGCATAAATCAACTCCATCAGCAGGAAAAGGTGCATTAAACCATGATGTTGCTTTTTTTTTTTTTCAATCTGTGGGAAGAGTAAAAAGCGAACATTAGGGCAGATTTCCAAAGAGAAGCTCACGGGGAGCAATAATCCATGATTGTTTTGTGGACTCTCCCAGTCCCAGAGGAACACAGAGCAGTTGTTTTAGAAGAATGGCTTTTCCCACCTTTTCTGGCAGATCATTATTCCTGATTAACTACTAGACTTACGAATCCCAGAGTAAGTTTAGTGCCTTCTAAAAAGTTTTCAACAGAAGTAAGAGCTATTTGGTCATTAAAAAAAAGCTTGCATCTGCTCCACATGTTAGGCTCCCCTGCGATTATTGACTTGGAGTTAACCTGAAGCGCAGGGGATGGGACACCCACCCGAGTGTGCTAACGAGTTGTGTGCACGTGCTCGACGAGCAGTGTGCATGGAATGCACTCCGCCTGGGAAGGCCCGGCCTCTGTCTGCCGGGTGGGCCGCACCTGAGACTTCTGTCCTGCTCCAGAAGGTTCAGTCCCAGCTCATTGGTGATTGCTCTCTGTGCGTGTGTACATACTTATTAAAAAAAGAATAAACACTGAAATCACATCTTCCAATAAGTTTTGCTAAATGAATGCTTGTATTTGCATGCAGTCCCCAGAGAGTAGATTTGACAATAACTGGAAAAAAGACCGGAGAATTCAATGGGAAGACGGCAGAATTTGGGCAAGCTGGTAGGTAGATGAGGGTGATGAAGACTGTGGGTAGAGCAGTTGAATGACCAGCAAAGTGACCACAGGATTAGGTTAGTAAAGTCACTAGACTGCTAGAATCCCGTTGGGTGGACTGGATTTTATTGGTGTGGTCCTCATCACCTAGTGTCCATTTGTTTGTCATCTTTTCTCATTTCGCTCAGAATATCCAAGTTCCTGCTTCAGAGTCTCCAACCTAGAAACTGATACCCAGTTTTCTGACGGCCACTTGGTCGTTCTTAGCTCTGACCCCTGCTGGGGCTTGTTTTCATTTTTTGCCTGTGGTTGGCTCATGTTTGTGGGAACTGATTGGACCAAAAAAACTTCTTAGCCTTCCTTTTCTAAGATTTAACCCGTGCTTTATTTCCTACAGGGCCATCAAAGGCATCTGAAGGATGTTATTCCGATTATGCCTCAGACCTGCCTAGTAAGAATTTAAATATCAGGCAAAACCATACGTTATTCGCTCAACAAACATTTACTGAGCCCTTTCTAGAGTCCCCTTCTGCAGCAGTAAGTAAGGGTAGTGAGAACAATTGGACCATCATGTCTCCTCCGGAGAATGACCTAGCCTGATCCTTCCCTAGCTTTTCAACGTTAGAACTTGGGCAAGAACTGAGAAGTCGTTTGGCCTGAACTCCTTGTTTATTTTTTGAAAAGCACTTGTTACCACTTAACGAACCTTCCTCCATGAGACTTCAAGCTGCCAGGACATGGACACCTCCCACCCGCCTTAATCTTCTCCTCAGCTCTTCTGCTGCTGACTTTGGCCTTCATGATGACAGGCTGCCTTGGGAGCTCTCCCAGAACTTTGTGGTAGCCCGATGGCACCACCTCAAGGCTAGAGCAGCTCCAGTCTTGTTTTGGGCAGCATTTACCTTGTCTACTCACCAACCAAGGTCAACAGTTCATCAAGGTTGACAGTTGGGCAGAAGCTCTGGTTCCCCTTTAAGTGGTAATGCCTCATACCAACTTCCCCGAAGTCACTTGGCTGATATTTGTCAAGGTAGATCCTGGGGTGGTGCAGGCCACCCGCATCACCCTGGGCCCCTGGGTGCTTCTCTTGCTGATGGGCTATGGCTGTGGCTCACGTGGCCCAGAAGTTTCTGGGTCTTTCTCAGTCTGGATGGCATGTCAGCAGCCAAAATGATAAAGCCCTCCTCGTTTTACTTTAATAGTGACAGTAAGTAGATTAACCAAGAAAATGAGATGTAATAACACAGGTTCTACTGCCTAATTACTGCCTTCTCAGTTTCTTTTTTGAATGTAGTTGAAAGTAGGTAATACTAGCAACATATAGCATGAGCTGAGTGAAGTCTTTGGGATGTGCTTCAGGGGACGTGGGGGAAGAGGAAGCACATGGTTGGTTGGCTCTACTGGACTGAAAGTCACCCCTCAGGGGGACTGCTCTTCACCTAAGTCCAGCTCTACCTGGACGCACGTGATTTTACAGCACCTGGGTCTCTATTTTAGGGGCTGGTTAAGGTAGTTCTCTAGGATCTAATTATGCTTTTCATGCCCCCTGGCTTCTTCATGATCTGCCCCTGCCTGTCTGTCTGACCTTTCCCCCTCCTCTCCTTTCCTCTGTCACTTTGCACTGTCCTTTGGTCTTGGAACCAGCCCTGTGCATTCCCATCGTATGGTCTAAGCACTTGACCTTCCCTCTCCCTGGCGTGCCCTTCTCCCAGGTCTTCCTGTGGCCTCCCCTTCTCATCATTCAGATGTCCTTCCTCATCATCTGGGCTAGAGTCTCCCTTCTCCATCCCACCCCCTACCCCAGACACTCTACCATACTTTATTCATAATAATTCTTGAAATAATATGTCTTTGTTTTCATAATCTCTGTCTCCCCCAAGTAGAATATGTGTTTTGAGGACAGGGACCTTGTGCTGTTCACTGCGGTATCCCTGGGCCTTGGGACAGGACCTGGTACAATTAGGTGACTCCAGCCTGGGTTAATCCCAGTGGTGTACAATAGGGACCTAATTAGCACACTATTGTGGGACATTATTAGTTAACAAATGGTATTTTATTAAGATGATATTCAGTTTAGTCATTTTCACACTTTATACTTTTCACTGATAAGGTCAGAGGTCCGGAATCCCACATCTTAGCAGATGACCTCTTCTGGCTCTATATTTCTGTTACGATGAAGTTGCAGGGTGACCATGCTGTGTTCAGAGATCTGCCTATCAAAAATGTCCTGAGATATACACAAGTCAACATAGGCCTCTCCTGAGACGGGAGCAGGGCGAGAGAAACAACTGATTCTACCAGCTACAGAATATTGTATCCTCCTGCCTCTCAGCACTCTAGTAAATCTCTGATCTGCTTTCGCTCTAATCCTCACTGTTTCTTTTTATTTTGCTTTATCAGTTGGGAATTTGGAAGATGGGGGAAGTCAAAGAAAAGGAGGGTAAAAATAGAGAAAGGGGTGTTAGAGCTGTACCCTAGGCCCCTGTAACCCCTCTTGGAAGTGGAGAGAACTATCAAGGAATCCCCAGAGAAGAAGTTGAGCACAGTCTTAGGAAACCTCATTGCTGGGGAAGGAAGAAGATGAAAAGTT